ATATGTATGTATGTATATATATATATAACCTAATAATGATTATAGTAAATTCATGCTCAATAAACCACGATAAGAGCAGCCAAAAATATCTTTATATTTATAGTTTGGACCGCTAGAATGGAAATATACAATTAACGTCGTGATAATTTGGCACTGGAATCGCTTAGGCACACTATTAATAACCATAATCTTACGTCAGCACCCTACATGTATTTAATATAGATTATCTAGGGCCGTTTGGCAGTTCTTGATAATTAAATTAACAACAATTATGATAATCAATAAATGTCTGTCTATGTTGGCAATTGTAGTAAATGAACATGAATAGGGAAATTAATACTTTTGTATTAGCTTTATAGCAAAATATATGAATATCTAACCAGATGTAATTTTAGACTAGATTATACACTCAGGTCTCCAGAGAACCAATTCAAATAAACACTGACGTAAATAGTTCAAGTGATGACGTCCCTCTGATCATGTGACAATCTTTAATGTTCTGTACATCATCTCAAAAACGTTTGGAGCAATCACATAGTTAAAGTCAATCAAGATATCGTAAAAAACATACAAAAATTGGGAGATTTTAGAAAACATTTTTTTCTTTCACAAATGCTAACGTCATACAAATGGCGATATGTTTGTGATGTTTCATGATCACTGACCACATCTATAAGGCACATTCCACGCTTCTACTTTCTTCGATCCAGATAATAAAAACGCATAATCATTGAAGGGCAGTTTTACTACGTTGGTCTCCACCAGTTGGGTAATTGCGGTTTCCTTCCATCGCCGCCTGAAGCCAAGGTAGTTTCAGAAGTGTCATGATGATGCCAGTTTTCGTTGGTTTAGTCATAATGTCACTAAAAGTAGTAGTACATATTCGCATTTATATTTTAAACAATTGCACTCTCAACGACACAGATTGTTATGTTCATCAAGTGTCGTAATTATTGTTTTGCCGTTGGATACAACAGTTGAAGTCAAGATGAAACATTATCTCTCTACCACGGTCTTCCAGGCAAGCCAAGTCTGTTTAGGTTCTCTGGTTCCGAGCGGCTACGATTCATATTGACAAGAGCGGCCTAGAATAATGAAGAAAAATACCATGCCAAAATTATTGATACGGTGGCCTACATTGACAAGTATGAGCACATTGTAGTAAATGTTACTATCGTCATCGTCGTTCATCGTAGTAATTATCAACAACAACGTCATCATTGTCGTCATCATCATCATTAACAACAACAACAGCAGCAAACAACAATGTCATTGACATTCTAATGTGTAGTGTTAACTATCATATATCTATCGCGCAGTGCGTAAAACACAAATCTCACTGTTATCAAAGCAACACAACTACTAGCAGTAATTAAAAATATACATACACTGACTATTATAATGCACAACTTACATTGTCTTGAAGATCTTTCATGATGCTTGAAAACTTTGGCCTCTCAAGATGATCATGAGCCCAACAGTCTATGATCAGGTCCTAAATGGAAAAAAGTTAAATAAAATAAACAATCAATTATTTTTCCATTCTTTATTTTAACCGTAAACTATAAGCATGGCAAAAAATATCTCTAAATTAAAGTTTTATCATCTGACGTCAACATCAATTTGCTTTCAGTTGTAAGTACAGCAGAGCCCATCCTTTGGGACAGCTGTATTATTGGGACACCTCTACTTAGGGGACACTTTTTTGGCCACGAAACGAGCGAAAGTATATCTGTTAACGCTACGGTCAACTCCTATTCTGGGAACACCCCTATTAAGTGGTCCCGACGGTGTCCACTTAATATGGGTTCTACTGTATTACTAAAAGACATAAAACTGCACAATCTTACCTTAAGAGCAGTTGAACATTTTATATGCGATACTGATTGTCTTGAGCCAGAACAAACTTGGTGTATGACGCTCTCTATCGGTGAGTGACGGAACGGCCACTTTTGTGATACCAGTTCGTAGAGGACCGTGCCGAACGCGTAGATATCGCACTCCTGGGTTACTATGGAATCAATGGTTAGGGTCGGTGGTGTTACTGTAGCGCGGCGTAGTAACTCGGGAGCAAGATAAGTAATATGGCCTTTGGGAAGACACGCGTGTGTACCACTGCAAAGAATAAAAGAAGAAAAAAAACGTATTAGAACGTCTATGGTTCACTTTTGGAAACATATTCTTTTGTTTGATAATATAATATACA